GCATGTAAGCTGCATGTAAGCTGCATGTAAGCTGCATGTAAGCTGCAGCAGCGCGTCATTGGTCCAGGTTCGAGACGGACAAGAGTCCAGCCTGGTACGTCTTAACAAAAGATTGAACTTCTTTCTGCGTCTGAAGACACATTTATATACGGGACCTCAAGTCACACCTGAACACGAAGCAGAGAAAGTCTTCCCCTCCTTCCTCATGACAGCACAGCGGTGGAGAAGTTCTCAGATTTATTTGTAAAGCACTCAGTCGAGACGTTTAAATAAAAGTTTAAAAAATATTTCTGTGTACAGTAAATATGTTTAAATACCAGTATCTCATTTAAGCTTACAGAAGTGAGGGGCTCTTCCCCGTCCTCATGAAAAACAGCCGTCGTTAACAAAAGTGTTTACCAGTAAAAATCAACGGTACTAATTTAATGAAAACTTACCACATTTTACCAGGACCATGTGACTTCTGGTCACATGACCTGGATAAGACTGGGTTTTACCAGAAAGTAATTTGTTAATGATTTCATTTATGCAGGTGTTTGGCATTGTTTATACTTATTTTGAAGGTGTAATGGTTGTAACCATGAGTCAGGCTGAGGTGTTGAAGCAAACCATACTCTGTGAAACTCCACCTGCTGGCTGGTTCTTGTACTACAAGAAAGCTGCACACAGCGGAGCACACTGGGCTCAGACTCTGACCAGTCTGCGCCTTAATAACCATAGCGTCTTATTTATGTACAAAATTATGATTTACCTTATATTTAATAAATGCGGCTTAGAGACAGGTGCGTTTTAAAGTCCGAGAATTACGGTAGCTTCAGAAGCAGGAATCTGAAAACGCCTCATTTAAGTTGGACCAAATCTGAGTCCATCCCTGATTTGACGTGAGGTCATAAAGTCCCAGATTCCTAGAATAAAACAGAGACGTGGTTTCCAGGAAGCTGCACTCACTTGATGATTTTGCTCTCGAACTGCTTGGCGCTCCTCCACTTGCGGATGCATTTCAGACAGTAACAGTGGCTGCAGTTGGACAGGATGCCAAAGCGACGCTCGCTTGGGTTGGACTTCTCAAACACCACCTCCATACAGACGCCGCACATCATGTCCTTGCTGCGCTGGATGGCAAACGAGATCTCCATGTCTTTCTCGTGGGCTTCGATGCACGCCTGGAAGGAAGAAGCACAACACTGTCAACTTCCTTCTACTCAGGGAGGCTCGGGTCGCTTCAGACCCACAGCCGTTTCTCCTTGCTGCTAGAGCACAGAGCTGCAGGGGTGAAACCAACTCTGGATGGGTTGGGTCATCACCACTGCTCTTACTGTCTCCAAGTAAAAACTACAGGGAGCGCCCCCTGGGGGATGAAGCCCCGCCCCTCAGTGCAGTCCATTTTCAGAGTCAGAGTTAGAGTCAGAGACATTTAGTCGTCAGTCGCATCTCATGTGGTACATGTGGTGGAACGATACACACGATGGTCCACAGGGTCCCAGTTACATCCAACAATGAGACGTAAAATAAAAACAGCAATAAGATCAAAGATGTGAACGAAGAAAAACATCAACTAAACATACACTAAGCACTCATGGCATAAAAACATTACGTTGAACAGCAGCACGAACATGAGTCTGTGTGAGCAGATGAGCACGCACGAACACAGCAACATGACACAGATCAGCAGCAACATGACACAGATCAGCAGCAACATGACACAGACAGCAACATGACACTGATCAGCAGCAACATGACACTGACCAGCAGCAACATGAAACTGATCAGCAGCAACATGACACTGATCAGCAGCAACATGACACTGATCAGCAGCAACATGACACAGACAGCAACATGACACTGATCAGCAGCAACATGACACTGACCAGCAGCAACATGACACTGATCAGCAGCAACATGACACTGATCAGCAGCAACATGACACTGATCAGCAGCAACATGAAACTGATCAGCAGCAACATGAAACTGATCAGCAGCAACATGAAACTGATCAGCAGCAACATGAAACTGATCAGCAGCAACGTGAAACTGATCAGCAGCAACGTGAAACTGATCAGCAGCAACATGAAACTGATCAGCAGCAACATGACACAGATCAGCAGCAACATGAAACTGATCAGCAGCAACATGACACTGATCAGCAGCAACATGAAACTGATCAGCAACAACATGAAACTGATCAGCAGCAACATGACACTGATCAGCAGCAACATGACAATGTGAATATCATGCTCCGGTGCATTGATTCAGGCGGGGGGGACAGACACATTAAGACAAGCTATTGTTTAGCTATTTTAGCTAAAGTTTTGCTAATTTAGTGACCATGTTTTCAGCTTAAGCATTTGTTTAGCCTGATTTAGCTTTCAGCTAGTGTTCGGATGATTTAAGTTACTAGCTCGTGTTCCTGCTTGTTTTAACCCTCAGCTTGTATTTCAGAGAAGTCCTTCCTCGGTCTGAGTGGATGTTGGAGCGGTACCTTTGTGTGCTCAGAGCGCTGGCTGTTGTCTGTGGGGTGCAGCACCTGGAGGCCACACATGTCGCACACATCCCCGTGGAGATAGGCGCAGTTGATCCCGTAGCGACACTCTCCGACGGCAGCGTACGGACACAGCTGCTTCCTCAAGTCTTTGTTGTCCACGGCCGAGTCCCCGTCTAAGTCTTCAATGAGAGGGACAGAAGTCTCCCCCTTCACCGGCTCTGCTGAACAACAAACAAGTCCACATGACGCTGTGTGTAACAAATAGCTACACAATTATCATTGTGTAAACTGTGAACAAATACAGAAAGCAGCTCCTGTCACAGACACACACTTCACAGTGGAACAAAGGAAATGTATCAAATGTTTCAACTAAGAACTTGTACTTCTTTAGGAAACGACTTCTGTTCGTCCCACTGACCCAACAGCCCCGTTTTATGCGTCATAGACAAACTCCTAACGTGATGTTCTGACCCGCTCAAAGTACGGCTGCTAACAATAAGCAGTAAACGTTCGTCACCTCGACCACAGTACGGCTGTCCTGGAACAAACTCGGCAGCGTTCACCCAGTCTTGTGTTCCTAATCCAGGCGTTGGCCCACTGGGCTCAGGTTCTGATGGGCCAGCCTGTGGGACAGAAGGCAGCGGCAGCGTCTCGGTGGTTGGCAGCTCCTCTTTCTTTTCAGGTTTACTGTGTTCGAATCTGAAAAGAATCAGAAGTGTTACTTTCTCACACAGGCCAGTTCCTGTTGCCATGTCTGTTGCTGAGCGGCCCAGACTGGATGGAGAGATAACCCTAGATTATAACCAGGAGATCAGCTGAATCACCAAAACTCCAGCCAGGGAGGTAGGAGGCGCTTTAACCTACAGCTACATTCTCACTCTGGACTGTAAACTGGATCCTGACAGAAATCCTCTGACTCCAATCAATTCAGATTATTTCTACAGCTCCAAGTCACAACACAAGACAGCAGCAGAGAGACGGACTGTTACACAACATTAATGAAAACTGCACGTCCCTATGTCTGCCTGCAGGGAGGAGGGAGGGAGGGAGGGAGGGAGGAGGGGGGAGGAGAAGGAGACAGGAAGAGACAAAGACAGATAGAGACTGTGTTTCAGTTGTTAATCTGACATGTGTTTGTGTTTCAGTTGTTAATCTGACATGTGTTAGTGTTTCAGTTGTTAATCTGACATGTGTTAGTGTTTCAGTTGTTAATCTGACCTGTGTTAGTGTTTCAGTTGTTAATCTGACCTGTGTTAGTGTTTCAGTTGTTAATCTGACATGTGTTGATGTTTCAGTTGTTAATCTGACATGTGTTGGTGTTTCAGTTGTTAATCTGACATGTGTTAGTGTTTCAGTTGTTAATCTGACATGTGTTAGTGTTTCAGTTGTTAATCTGACATGTGTTGGTGTTTCAGTTGTTAATCTGACATGTGTTGGTGTTTCAGTTGTTAATCTGACATGTGTTGGTGTTTCAGTTGTTAATATGACGTGTGTTTGTGTTTCAGTTGTGTTAATCTGACGTGTGTTTGTGTTTCAGTTGTGTTAATCTGACGTGTGTTGGTGTTTCAGTTATGCTAATCTGACATGTGTTGGTGTTTCAGTTGTTAATCTGGCATGTGTTGGTGTTTCAGTTATGCTAATCTGACATGTGTTGGTGTTTCAGTTGTTAATCTGACATGTGTTGGTGTTTCAGGTGTTAATCTGACATGTGTTGGTGTTTCAGTTATGTTAATCTGAAATGTGTTGGTGTTTCAGTTGTTAATCTGACATGTGTTGGTGTTTCAGTTGTTAATCTGACATGTGTTTGTGTTTCAGTTGTTAATCTGACATGTGTTTGTGTTTCAGTTGTGTTAATCTGACATGTGTTTGTGTTTCAGT